CTCTCGACCCCGTACCCCCTCCTCCCTCGTCCTCCCGGTGACCCGGTTCCCCCTCCTCTCTCGCTGCTCGCCACGCCCCGCCTCTCCCACGTCTCCGCTCCCACCGCGCTACCCCCGCCCCTTCCTCAGCAGGAGGAGCGGGTGAGGGGGTGCGCACAGGTGCACGCGGAGGGCGCGGTGCCCGCCCCACTCCTAGCGGAGCCGTCAGGGGGAGAGCGACCACTGCGAACAGGGAGACGGGGCGCCAGGCGTGTACCCGTGGGTTTGCACTTGGTGGTGTCGTCTTTGTTAAATAATAACCAAAAGACGCCCCCCAAAGGTGGCAGGAAACCCAGTGGGTGGGTGGGCTGCCTTTGAAGCCAGTGGGGTTGGGTTGGGGCAACTGAAAATTAAGAAAATTGGAGCGCGTTTTGGTGGGGGGCGCACTCAGCGTGGCCGCGGGGTCGTGCCTTAAGTGTAAAACCGGGAAAGTCGTTCTCTCTGCAGACCGGCAGCCACGGGGCGATGGGTGCGGTTGCGGGGGCCTGAGACCTGCATGCTGCCCCCAGAAGGCTGTCACCTTAACATCCGAAGGATGAGTGTGGCCTGAGAGCCTGTTGTTACCCGGCCAATGGAAAAGCACAGAAATGAAAAATGAAACACGTTATTTTTGTTGTGGTTTTAACTTATTTGAAAATAATTTCAAACTTACACAAAAGTTAGAATAAGAAGAGTACAAAGAACACCCTTTTACCCCTTACTGAGATTCAGCCACTAAAGTTTACCTCACTGGCTTTATCATTTGTGTCCTCTCTGACCACTCCCTTCCCCCAAAATATTCATCAGTGTCTTTCTTTCATCCGTCTAACATTTGTCCATCTACCTGTCTGTCTATCATCTATCTGTGGTCTTTCTTTCCATCTGGTGGGGTCAGTATTAGAGACCAAGCTCTGAGAGCTCTAGGTATGCAGTTTGGTGTCCGGAAGCTAATGGGCTTGGTGTCCTACTTGACCCACATTTCTTTTACTCACTCTTAGACGCTGGACAAGCCAGTGAACTTCTCTGAGCTGTGTGTCCACTTGTAAGTGAGAACCGCGGTGCCTGCCCTTCCGCCTCAGAGGGGCTGCAGGAATCAAGCATGCACCGTCACCGCGTGCATCAGTGTCTTGCTGAGGGCCTACTCTCCAAGCGTCGCTGCACTGGGAGCAGGGCAGACACAGGAGTCCACAGTCCAGCAGATGGGGGTAGATGACGCAGAAAACTGTGTGACAGTAACAAGATGCAGGCAAACAGGAGGAGGAGCGTGGAGCTTGGAGGAGTGAACGTCCGAATGTGACTGAAGGGTGGTCGGGATGAGAGATCGGGATGGGTTCCCAGGAACAACGTGCTGAGAGCATCAGAGAGATCAAGACGTGTGGCCAGCACGGGCGGCCCGAGACCCTGGAAGACAGTCTTGACCCAGTGGAGATAAAATCAGAACTGAACAGGAGTTGGGCTGCACAATAGAATGGAATGCACAAGAAAGGATTCTTTATATTCCATCTGTCCTTACCTTGTTCAGGATCCCACTGATGTTGGGATGGGTGGGACTTACATTTGTCAACGAGAGGTTACTCTGTCCCTTTCGGGTGAATGCCCGCTCCTCCAGGAATTTTTCCACTTCCCCTTGCAGGGGAGCCTATGTGTCCTCAGGGCAGGGGCTCCTCTGCGGGCACCTGATGTGCTAGGGCTGGCGGTGGTGTTGCTGGCAACAACACTGGCCCCACTAAGGTGTGGCAGCCCCCTGATTGAGCTGTGCTGAGGCTCTGTGGAAGCCTTGGTCCCTTCCTGGGCTCTGGTCACCAGGGCCACACCTCTGCCTCCTGCTCCTCAGGCCTCTTCTGGCCACACCCACCCTCGGTGCCTGCACCAGCCTGTGTTCCGAGGCACCCCGGAGCGGGGAGGGGCGGGCCCGTTGAGGCACTTTTCAGCTGCTCTCCCCACCTCCCGCCTGGACACCCCTTCTGCTGGCACCCATGGCCCACACAGCACATGCTTCCTGGCACTCCCACACCTGAGGCTTCCCCATTTTTTCCAGGCTGAGCTCCGAGTGGAGAGGATCAGATCTCGAGAGCAGCGACTCGTGTGCTGTCGCCACAGATCAGAAGCCGGGAAACCGGTTGATTCGGCAAGAGGAAGCCTTGGGGCTTCGTGGTTGGAAGAGAGTGAAATATTGTGCTGGGTACTCTCTACTTTCCAGAAGAGGAAGGAAGCTTCGAATACATGTGACTCTCAGGTTGTTCTGGTCCCTCTGCCCCATCCAGAGTCCAGGTGAGTAGTTCTGAGGACACGCCTGCTTGGGTGGAGGAGACGCCCCTACCCCCCACAAGGCCATTTTTAACTTGTACCTATGAAGAAGCTCACCATTTGCCTGTGTCCCTCCTTTTGTGTCTTAAAAGCCTGGATGCTAGACTTCAATAAACAGTTTACTTCCTTCTTCCCCTTTTTTAAGCTGGGGTGCTCCCAGCTGTGATGGGGGATCAGCAGGTAGTCAGGGGAGCGCCCTTCTGAGCCTGGACCCTGGCCTTGTGCCTCATGGGTTCCTAGAAGCAAACTTAGAGCATGTCTTCTATGCTTGTTCCCAGCTCCCACAGGCACACAGCATCCTGGTCCCTTGGCGTCCCCATAATCGGGGTACGTTGTGGCATACAGGTGGTGCCCAATGTGTGCTCGTCACACAAGAACGCGTTCCCTGTGGAGGTGAATTCCTAATATGTGCTTGGCCTACTTCTCAAGACAATGTGGAGATAGACTCAAATATCAGCGGTGGGAAGCCGTCACGAGCGTTTTTTAAAGTGTACAGATGTGACGTGCAGCCTTGGGGATGTGCCCCTCTCTGCCCTACCGCCGGCTCTGTGCTGCGGGTGGATGTGGACACAGCCCGGGCCCTGGCATCAGGACGAGTCAGTGATGTCTGGGCTGCACGTCTGCCTGGCTGGTTTCCAACCCCTCCTGTTTTCAACCACAACCGACCTACCCAGTGAGATGGATTCTTGAGAGCAAACCTGCCTTATGGCTGCAGCCCTGCCAGACCCTGGTTGTCCAGCCTGGCCATGGTCTCTTTTCCAGATATTAAACAGCCCGGGGCCAGGGGGGAGCAAACCTCTCAACTTCCTTGCATTGAAAACGTCTCTTCCCCCCAGCCCAGTCCTGTGTCAGGCCGTGAACCTGGGCTAGGAGCTGTGCACAGCAGTGGGGGGAGTCTCTTCTCTCTCTGCTGCACTTCCTGTCCCCTCACCACCGCAGCCTGCATGCTCCAGGGTCAGGCAGCCCTGCCCGCTGGCACAGCAAGGGTTGCTCTTGTGAGCTCCTCTGGCCTCCCCTGGCCCAGCATTGCTGGAGACGCCTCAGCTGTAGGCCCCTCCGTGCAGAGGATGCTTCTCAGGATGCCTGCAGCTCCCACAGGCTTCCCTTCTACTGGGATCACCTTCCCTCTCCAGATGGTCCTCTTGGGAGACAGAGTTTCAAGATGGTCCATGGGAATCGACATCTGGCTAAGGAAAATAAAACCCACCCTTGCTTTGCCGGTGGGGGAAGCAGGCTGCCGTCAGCAGCCTTCCTCTCCAGGATCTGCAGTCGGGGCAGTCCGCCAGCTGCGCTCTCACCTTCAGACACTCCAGGTGTGAGTCAGAGCCTCTCCTGCCTCCCTCAGAGGATGCAGGCCAAGCTCCGGAGTTGGGTCTGGAGGCCGCTTCACGTGGTCTGAGGGGGAAGCACCTCTGGCCCCTATGAGAAGGGAGCTGTGGCGCACATGGGTACGAGGCTCTGAGTCCTGCCTGCGTGCCGCCTCCTCCTCTCACTTGGCTTGGAGGTCGTTCTGGGCCGACACTTGCAGACCCTGCGGGTCACTCTCCTGCAAATCCTCTGTCGGTGGTCTAGCACCTCACTTTGAAATGTGGGGCTCTTGATCGTAGCCGTGCTGGCCTTTAGGCTTAAACGCTGATGTGACTGGCTGAGTCGCCTCTGACCTCCTGTTAACGTGACTCTCAGCTGAGCCTGGCCCAGAGGCTGCAGAGACGCCTGGAGGGACCTGTTCCTCAGGGGTTCCCCAGAGGAAGGCAAGCAGGTGGTGATGTGTAAGACACGTCTGGAACGCTGTGGTTTTCTAAACGGACCTCAGTTTTTAGAGCAGTTACATGTTCACAGAGAAACTGAGTGCATCCCCTCACCCTCCACACACGATTTTCCCGTTATTAACATCTTGCACTACTGGGGCACCTTGTTAAAGCTGATGAGCCAGTGTTATTAACTAACATCCGTAGTGCACTGTCCCCACTGTTCTGTCTTTTCCAGAATGTCATATAGTTGGAATCATACAGTATGTAGCCTTTTCATATTGGATTCTTTCACATAGCAATATGCATTTAAGGTTCTGCCATGTCTTTTTGAGGCTTGATAGCTCATTTCTTTTTAGCACTGAATAATATTCCATTGTCTGGATGGACCACAGTTTATTTATTCATTCATTTATTGAAGGACATTTTGGTTGCTTTCAAGTTTTGGCAATTATGAATACAGCTGCTGTAAACATTCATGGGCAGGTTTTTGTGTGGACATAAGTTTTCAACTCATTTGGGTAAATACCTAGGGGCATAATTGCTGGAGTGTATTATAAGAGTATGTTTAGCTTTGTAGGAAACTGCCAAACTCTTCCAAAGTGGCTGCACCATCTTGCGTTCCCACTAGCAGTGAATGAGAGTTCCTGTTGTTCCACATCCCCACCAGCATTTGGTGTTGTCAGTGTTCCAGATTTTGGCCATTCTGGTAGATGTGTAGTGGTATCTCATTGT